AGCTTCTCAGTGGTGCCGGTGGCCTGCCCCCACTGCATTCCATATTGCCTTGGTCAAGGGGGTATGAGCTCAGGCCTTCTGAGGACCATAGTTCCCTTGTGGATTTTCTGGTCTTACACAGTAAATCCATTGTAGCATGTCCACTTCTTTGCGCATTTTGATCCCTTTCTCTATAATCTGCCATAACAGCTCTGACATTGCTCTTAAAAACACAAAACAGTTACAGGGAGACCATTTATTGAAGAGTATGGTCAACATTAAAAACATGTCATAATTTTTTACATTCCAAATAACAGACATTGAAATTTTAGCTCAAGGAATAGAATAAAGCCAATTTAATCCTCACTAATTCATCCACATGGTTCAGTCAAATTCGGTAATTGTTATAATAGGCATTAAAAATGAAATAAGCCTATAGTTTAGGTTGATTGGACAGTGAAGGAAAGGAGAAGGAGTAGGCCCTCGGACCCAAGGGAGGATACTGTCATGGTATCCTTGAATAGTGTTTCCAAAATGAATACGAGTGACAAGCAGAATGGTGTCGGACACACTTATCAAACCACACCCCGACTTCACCACATCCCCATGTTCAGGTTCTGTTTAAAAGGGGGCAGTCCCTCATGGTCAAATCGAAGGGCAGAGGTCACCAGTAGTCAAATCCTCGTCAAAGGGGTGCTCTGCTCAATGATTGAACCACGAGAAACTCTCAAGTTATTTTTAAAAAGCCACAGTGGCCATAATCTCTGACCACAATGCAACCATGACTAGAAACCAGTACAAAATTACAATAAAAAAAGAGAGTCATCGGGCTCCTCTCGGCCTCTCTGCTCTAACCTTCCCAGAGCCACATTAGCAGCTTATTAGAACTACTGCCTGGGCCTTTGCCAGGATGTCCTATCCTGTGTCATGGGAGAATGCCCCTTGTTAGTTTCCTAGGGCTGCTGTAACAAAGTGCCACAACCAGGGTGGCTTAAGTTTATTTCTTTTCTTCCAATTTTGGAGGCCGGAGGTCCAAAATCAAGGAGTCAGCAAGGTCACCCTCTCTGAAGGCTTTGAAGGAGGACTCATCTTTGCCGCTTCCTCCCTTCTGGTGGTTGCTGGTCATCCTTGGCATTCCTGTGGACGCAGTGCTTCAGCCGCCACCGCTGTTGTCCCGTGGCCTTCTCCCCTGAGTTTCTGAGTCCATGTGTTCAAATTCCCCTCTTTTCATAGGGACACGAGTCACGGGACTAAGATTCACCGAAGCAGGTCACATTCACAGTTGTCAGAGACTAGGACTTGAACGCATCTTTGGGGAGGACACAATTCAACCAACTCCCCAGACTGACAAACTTTCTCTTATCCAACTTTATCAGCCCTCCATCTCCCTCCGGCATACTCAGGATCCATTCCCAGGCACGCTTTCCCGCCTCCTGCTGGTAAATGTTAATCAGATCCTGCTTCTTTGGTGTATAACCCACTCTTCCACGGGCAGGCCCAGTACATGCCCAATGTGGGATTTGGTTCTAGTTATTGGTCTGCTGGCCAAGGAGGGAGGGAGGAGTAGATTTTGAAGAGTGTCAGCATTGTCTTGTAAGTCACCTGCCGCATTTGAGGTTTTGCCGAATTTTCAAGTAAGGGGAGGAGGGTCTTATATATACCTTCCAACAAGGGGAAGTGGCCACTTCTGCAGGTTCAGAGGGTTCTGAGGAATTTAGAGTGTTAGGTGTTTGAGTGCAGGTATCCCTTAATCCAACTCTCAGATACCCTCTCATCCAAAGTTTTCAGGGTCCTGTTTCTCATCAGGATCTCAGCTTTGGTGTAAGAGACATGCCTAAGCTCAGAATTCCACCTTCTCCAGAGTTCTGCTGTTTTTTAAAATTAAGCTCTAACTTTGGAATTCTTCTAGACTCATGGAGAAGTTGCAGAGATAGGACAGAGATTTTCTCTGCATGTGCTCCTTACTTGGTTTCAGCTAATGTTAACTTCTTACTTTACTGTGTGGTACATTTGTCAAAGCTAAGACATCGACATCGATGCATGACTAATTAAATGCCACATTTTATTAACATTTCGTTACATGTTCCAGCGATGTTATGTGTCCTGGTCTAGGATCCAGTCCAGCTACCACATTGCCCTTAATCGTCATGTCTCCGTCATCTCCTCTGGTCTGCGACCGTCTTGCAGCCTTCTCTCGTTTTTCACGACTGGGGCAGTTTTGAGGAATACCGATTGGGTATTTTGTAGAAAGTCCTTCAATTTGGGTGTATCTGATATTTTTCTAATGATTAGACCAGGATTGTGATTTTTTAAAGGAAGAACACTACAGAGGTGAAATGCCTTTCTAATCACAACCTATCTGGGTGTCCATGCTGTCCCCAGGACTTACTACTAGTGACGCTAACACTGATTGCTTGGTTAAGGAATAGTTGCCAGGTTTCCCTGCTTTCCATACTCTGTTCTTTGGAAGCAAGTCACTAACTCCAGCCCACACTCTGAGATGATTCCGCCCTTTTTACAATAAAGTCTTGCGCCTGAACTTCAGTTCTATCTGCCCTCCAACTGCGAGAGAGAAGGGTCTCCTAAAATGGTGACAAGGAAGCAACCGACTCTTGCACTTTCCTTTGAACTAAGGATTGATTGTCTGAATCCTGTTATTTTCTCTTTTCAAAGTATCAAAGGCATTTAACAATAGCCACTGAACTCCACGGGGAAATCGATGTTTCTCCATACCTCCCCAGTCACCAGTGATATTGCATGGACCCACATGCACCTCCCTTTCGTCCTGCATTCCAACCCAGGTCACCACAGGTAAAAGCCAGCATTTACACCGGCACCACATTCCAGGAATGGTCGGCGCCCCACCTACCACCAGTGGTGGGGTCCTCATTGCCTGCCAGCTACTGAGAAATCCAACTCCAAGATCTCACTCTGACAGTCGGCTTCCTTCAAGCGTCTCTTAGAGACTCCCCGCCCCAGAGGCTCTGCCCACAACGCAGGGTGCAGGGCCCCTCAGCTTTCAGACTCCCAGCCTTCCCTCTTCTAACCATCTCTTATCTTCTCCTAGTCTGGCAGCATATTTTCTTATCAAGGGTTTATTTTCTCTCTTTTTCTAGTGTTCCCCACATATCTTTACAATAACCAAGTCCTCTATGTGCTTCTTCAACCTGAGTACAAAGACCAAAGACTCAATACAGACAGAGTAAAGCAGGACCTATTGTATTTTTTTTAAACAAAGACACACTTTACATATCAACACAGCAATAGCCCCCACTTCCATGAAGAAACATGCAATACCATTCAGAGTTCTTAGCTGCCATCTACTGTAGCTTAAGCGGAACGCAGTTTATTTTAGTAAAGCATGTTAGGATGCTCCACCTCCAAGAGAAAGGCAGGAGAGAAGCTGTTGTATCACACCACCAATGCTCGCCTCTGAGCGCTAATCGTGATCTGGTCCAGCAGACCTGCCGCAGTGGTCAGAGTGGGATCCGCTGCTTCTCCACCTGCGCACGTTTGCGTCGCCATTGCTCCCGCGCAAAGCGTTCTCCTCTCCTTGCTCCCTTCACCATCTAAATCCCGCTCAAGTGCTACTGACTTATGTACATCACATATCAGTATCCCAGCTGCAAGGGAGCATAGAAAAAGTACTTTCCTGTGCTGGGAAGGCAGGGCTCAAACTTCCAAGGGGCAGTTGAGATACTGGGTATCTGTGAATGGTGGTTGACTATGTATTGTATGTTTATTCCTAGTCTCATTTTTTTCTCTGCTTCTGATAGAGATATGTATATACAACATATTTTCCTTCCTCTTCATTTTAACTGGAAGGGAAACACCAGTGCAAGTGTGATGTTAAATGCCAACTGAGTTCAGTATGGGAGTGACAGGAGAGAGAGGTGAGGACTTTAGGAAACGGGAAGCCAGTGGAGCCGAGGGAGAATGTGGGCCTAATCGCTCCAGATCTTCAGATTTTTCCAAATAAGCCAGAGGGGTTGTAATATGTGAGACAGTACAAACAGTTCCTTTTATAACTGATAGATAATGTTCAGTTTGCCCAATTACTTATTTTTTAAGAAGAGAGCCCTGGCTGGCATAGCTCAGTGGACTGAGCATGGGCTGTGAACCAAAGGGTTGCAGGTTCGATTCCCAGTCAGGGCACATGCCTGGGTTGCAGGCCAGGTCCCCAGTGGAGGCCATATCAGAGGCAACCACATATTGATGTTTCTCTCTCTCTTTCTCCCTCCCTTCACCTCTCTAAAAATAAATAAATGAAATCTTAAAAAAAAAGAAGAGAGTAAATTCACTAAACTGGACGTACCATAATCTGAACCTATAGAAGTCAATGAAAAAATTCTATAATCTGGTTAAAAGATGCCAGAGTACCACCTCCTTAGAAGAACCACTTGAGGAGGAAACCAGAAACAAACCCACTGGGTGTGTGCTGTGATAGAAAATGTACCTCCCTCCTTCCACGTAGCATTTTATTAAGACTTAAAAAAAGAAGGAAAGGAAAGAATCTGAAAATGAATTGCTTTTCTACTGTATATCTTTTTAGCAAGCTTAATGACATCAACATTAAGGTCGAACCTGATGGTGAGCTGGGTCATGCAATGCAGACAAAGTCTGTCGATGACCTTCAGGAGGAAACTCAGGGAAGCACAGCCTCTGTTTGCAGACATAACCTCTGGTCTTGGGCCTGCATCCCGCTTCAGGTGGCTTAGTTTCTTCACCTACACAGTGTCACAATAACACTGCCGACCTCATGGGGATCTTAGGAGATCAAAATGACTTAGTACCCATCAAGGTGCAACACAATATCCAGAATATCAGTAACTTCAGCCATTATAATGTGTTTTAGTGATAAGAATTATGATAGTAACAGTAATAACATTTAAAAAACGCAGGCTGCATCCTACTTTGTGTTTCTCTTTTCTTTCCGGGTACCCTTTTTCTTTCTGAATAGTACATTTTGATTTTGCTTTAATCCTGACCTTCTTTCTCTGCCCATTCTTTTTCTACTGTAGAAAAATCGACGGGACCAACGAGGAAGAAAATAACATTGAGCTGAATGCAGACGGGAGGCCAGTGCAGACGCCCAGGCAGAGCGCCACCCTCTGCGACTGCCAGTGCTGCGGCATCCCCAAGCGTTACATCATTGCCATCATGAGCGGGCTGGGATTCTGCATTTCCTTTGGGATCCGGTGCAACCTTGGAGTGGCCATCGTGGAAATGGTCAACAACAGCACTGTCTATGTCGACGGAAAGCCGGAAATTCGGGTCAGTGTCAGTCTCTGGTGGGAGCGCTTTTGGCCTTTGCTGTGCAAATTCTTTACTGTGTGAAAGAAAGCACTGTCCTCATTCACTGAGGCGACAAAAAGTATAGAGGGGCATCCATGTGCTGGACACTCTACAAGGTGATGGGGGTAGGTGCTGAACAACACAGGCTGAGCTCTTGTCCTCACAGAGACATCCAACAAGCAAGTGATGACAATTTTGGGTTCTAGGTGCTTGTTGGAGCGATCGGAATGCTCAGGATCATGCAGGTGAAGGGGCCTAATACAGAAATTGATATTGTGAAAGAATTCCTGGAGAAAGTGATGGCTGGACCTGAAGGATGGGGAAGAATTTGATGAAGAGGGTTTTGGTGGTGGAAAGAAGAGTTTTTGAAGAGAAAGGAACAAGTGTCAAAGACTGTAGGAGGGAGGGAGGGAGGGAGAGAAGGAGGGAGGGAGGGAGGAAGAGAGGGAGAGAGAGAATGGCGAGTTTAGAACTGAGATAGGAGTTCGTCTTTTCTGTGTCATGGCCCTCTTTTGGCAACCTGGTGAAGTCTTATGTACCCTTTGTCAAAATATCATTTTAAATTCTTAAAATGAAATATATGGGATTATAAGGGAAAGTTAAAACACAGATATCAAAATATTTAAACGTAAAATTTCCTATATAGAAACACGCAAGCTTCTGTCTCAACACATCAGATGACAAAATCTAGCAATGGGTCTAAACAACATCAGAGTAATTTTGAATTTTGACCTGTAAACAGTAGTTTGAGATAGTAACAGAGACACAGGGACTGGCAATACGACTGTAGTTGTTTGTTGTCTGCATTCATACTCACAGAAAATGCTAAATTTCAGTTAGCAGTTAGTAGAAATTAAGATACCAATGTTTTTCCATCCAAGTTCGCAGATCCACAGAATTCCATTCACAGAGTCCAGGCTGAGAACCCTGAAAGAGAGCAGAGTGTGGGGGTGAGCATCGGAAGATGTAGGCAGCAAGGTTGAAAGGGGCCAGATCACGTAAAGCTTGGTAAACTGTGCAGGGAGTCACAGGTGGGCTTTAAGGAGCAGCAAGACAATAAGATCTGTGCTCCGGATCGGTCACTGTTTGGCGGTGATCTCCCAGTGGGTCGGGATGGACGTGACTGGGAACACCAGGCCCCAGGTCAAGGGCTGTTGTGGTCATAAGCGAGCATACTCTGATGTGATTTACATAGTCTTGTTTTCATGAATCACCGGAAAGATCTGGTTTGTTTCTTAAATAGTAGGCCTCGAATCATTGAAAAAGATGAAAATATATGCCCAGCGGATACTCAGTAAATACATGTTTCATTGTACTGAACACATGCACTGGAATGACTCATGCAGAAACCCCTCCATTGGCAGAGAGGCCTCTAATAGATGTCTGGTCTGGCCCCGCCCACAACTGGAAAAATCTTTAGACCAGAGATCCCCGAACTGGTCTGGCAAATCACCGTCCTGTAGGCTGTGCCATGAAGAAGGCGTCGTGAGAAATGGGAGACCTCACTGTGCTGGGTTCTATGAGAAGCTCCAAGGACAGCTGCTCAGTGCTGTACTTCCTGGACTCGACTGCAGACACCTTCCTTCCTGCCACCTCTGTTAGCGTTGCCTGTCCCAGTTCCTGCCAACCGCTGATTAGGGAAAATTTGATTTCAATGCATTAAAAAGAAGCCTTTAGTTGGCCTGTAGGACTTCTTTTTTTTAATCTAAGAGATTATTCTGCTAGAAGAAAAGAACTCCATGGAGATTCTTCTAACTAGTCTCTTTTTGACTTAACTGCTGAATCTGTTCGTTTCTTTTTAGGTGAGGAAGGGAGCGCACTCAAGGTGTGGGGAGCATGGCATGCATTTTAAAAATAAAGAGCGATGTATATGAGCAAGGTCTCCAATGGGTATCACATGCATCTTCCCAGCCTTCTGTGAGCGAGGCCAGATAATTAAAACTGGTCTGCTGAGGCCCCGATCACAATGAGATGCTAGTTTGCCTTTGTTGCCTGCAAAGACAGGCCTAGCTCAATAGAGTCTGCTCTGAGGCATATGCAAAAGGCAGTTTGATAAACCTGAAGAACAATACTGGTGTGTGCTCTCTGCTTTCTATGGTTTTGCCCTCTGGAGTCTTAGAGAACCAGATTAAGATCTACAATATACGTGAAGTCATCATTTTCATTGGCCTCAGAAATAGAAGTTGAGTCGAGTTGTGTTTGAGACGTCCAGAAGTTCTAACACAACTGTAATTTGTAGTAGGCTGTTTCTCTTTCATCCAAATAGAACAAAACTTAGATATCAGCTGAGAGTGTTCAACCTGCTGACAGAGATATTTCACTAATTGTATTAAGAAAGGCTCTGGATGGCTGGTGATTTTATTTGTTCAGTTTTTCATTCCATGGATGGAATCTAGACATTTTGCACTCAGACAATTTTAAATCCTCATTGCAGAAAGAGTGCAAGAATTAAGCAGTATGAACAGGTTAGGTCTTAAAAAATGTGTGGTATAAATAATGTATATTCTATTAGTACTGGGATAAAAGATAGTTTTAGCTGTCATATAAATAATCATCTGTAGTTTAATGATTATGAGTTTTAAAACATGTGAATCTAGCATATGGTAAACAATAAATATATAACTGAAGTTTGAGAAACTGCAATTATTTCTCATTACCCTCAGGAAAAGTCCAGACGCCTTCCCATGAATCGTGAACCCTGTAAGGTTAAGAGGGTAGACTTTGGAACTGGCCAGACCTGGTTTCAAAATTGACTCTCATTTATTAGCGCTGAGACCCTGAGCAAGTTGCCCTTGTGCCCTTGTAAAGGAATACTGGTTACAAAGAACAGAAACTCAGTGACACCAGTTCAAGTTAAAGAGGGAATTATGGTAGGGCTGTAGGGGATCTTGTGAAAGTGAAGGGCAGAGAGCTGTGTAAGTATGTACGGTCTGTGCCTTGGACTGGCGGGCCTAGCCTGAGCTGGGGCTGAAATCCAGGCTGTTCTCTACCACGAGGAGGAAAAGGGGTCTGGATGTAATTCTTTCTGAGGCATGAACAGAGACCTTGCCAGGAAAGCCAGAGCAGAGCTGGACCTCATGGGAACTAGCATATCCTTACTAAGGTCTCCAGTGTGCTCGCTTCTCAGTCTCTCCTCTGCTCCTCTCTGAGCCTGCTCCGTTCTCTGGGTCTCTCCAGGGACCGTTTTCTTTCCTTTTCCATAGTTTCTCACTGCTCTCCCATGCTGAAGTTCCTTGAGCCTTTGCCTTGTCAATGGGACTTGTTTCAGTTTAGTACCGTTTAACTAGAGTCTCTGGGTTCAGACTGGAGAGAAAGAGGCAGAACATGAGCAGAGAGAGAGAGACAGAGGCTGTCTGGCTGAGTCCGGCCTCACCTCTCTCTAATCAGATGTCCATTCAGCAGGGGAGAGGCCCGTGGTACTGTGGCCGCGGGTGGGCAGGGAGATCCTCTTAGAAGGACACATGAGCAGGGAGACAGGAATCGGTATTTCTAACAATTCTTTGTTAACTATCATTGCCCTTGTTGTGAAATGGGAATAAAAGACCTGGTTTGTAGAGCAAATGAGGTAATTTGGTACTAATGTATTAAGTATCTATATTAGTTTCCTAAGGCTGCCATAATGAACTACCATAAACAGGGGGATTAAAACAAGAGAAGTGTACTCTCTTACACTTGTAGGGATCAGAAGTCCAAAATCAAGGTGTCAGCAGGGCTGTGCTCCCCACAAAGACTGTAGGGGAGGATCCTTCCTGGCCTCCTCCAGCTTCTGGTGGCTCCAGGCTCCCTAGGCTCGTGGCAGCATCACTCCAGTCGCTGCCTGTCTTCCCATGGCCTTTTCCTATGTGTCTCAAATCTCCCGGTGCCTTTCTTAGGAGGACGCTTGTCATGGGATTTAGGGCCCAGCTGGGTAATCCAGGATAACTCATATAAGATCCTTGACTGTATCACATCAACAAAACCCTTTTCCCAAACAAGGCAGCATTCATAGGTTCCAGGGATTTTGTGTGTATATCTCCTGGGCGCCATTTTTCTACCCAACACAGTGCCCAGCACAGTACTTGGCTTGCACTAATGGCCATACTTGGGGCCATTGTGATTCTACAGGGGCTCAAGGGATGGTGAAAGTCAGTTCTCAGCAGGGCTAAGTGCTCCTCTTCATGTGTCATGTCCTTCAGAGAATGGACAGAAGCACCCTCCCCTCAGAGAGAAAGGCATGAGCAAGGGACAGTGTGACTGGCAGACCGCCACTGGATGAAGTGGATTCCTCTGCCTTGGAACCTTGGTTATTCTGTGACTCAAGGCAAAGAAGTCGAGTCTCTACTTCTTAGCAAGAAAGTCAAGGGTTTACAAGCAATGGGAAGAACATAGTGTGTGGGGCCAGGTAGGTAAGAGGCCTCTATCTTGGCTTTCCTATAACTAGTTGTTGTAACCAATAACTAACTAGTATGACCTTGGGCAAGTAAGTTACTCTCCCTAAACCTCAATTTTCTCATCTACCAAAAAAAAAAAAAAGGAGCTAATAATAATTACCTTTAGGTGTTATAAGGATTAAAGGAGGAAATACATGGAAAGTGCCTTAACAGAATCATGTTTCTCTTCTGCTTCAAGCTTCCAGTGTTTTTCACCTTTTTGAGCAAAAGTCAAGTCTTTATAATGACGCAAAGGCCCGTCATCATTTGAACCTCTCTTACCTAAACTTCTACTCTCCTCTCCCTCACGCATCACCCTCCAGCTCTACTGTTAGCCTGCTGTTCCTCTGATACGTGAGATACCCCTCCCTCGGGGCCTCTGCACTTGCTGTGTCTCTGCCTAACAAGCTGTCCTCTCAAACGATGAATGCACGACTTATTCCCTCCCTTCCTCTAAGGGCTTTACTCAAAAGTCATCTCCTCTGTGAAGTCTTTCTTGGCCACTTTATCTAAAATCACACCCTACCCTATTCCTACCCAATATTTTCTGTCCCCTTCTTTATTTTTCCTTCTCACCCTGTCATCCCTGATGACCACCTAACACAGTATGTGCTTGTTGACTCTCTGCCATACCTGCTGGCATCTCCATGAGGACAGCAATTACTGCTGTTGTTCACTGCTATGCCCCCCATGCCTAGGACAAGGTGTGGCACCTGGTAGCGTGAAATAAAAATGTGGTGAACTGATTTTTTTTAAAGATTTTATTTATTTATTTTTAGAGAGGGAAGGAAGGGAGAAAGAGAGAGAGAGAGAGAAACATCAATGTGTGGTTGCTGGGGGCCGTGGCCTGCAACTCAGGCATGTGCCTTGACTGGGAATCGAACCTACGATGCTTTGGTTTGCAGCCTGTGCTCAATCCACTGAGCTACGCAAGCCAGGGAATGGTGAACTGATTTGAATTAAAGATTGTTACTCTGGAGTTTTAACTTTTCAATCTGCAAAATGGAAACCACTGAGCACAGGCCAATATTACTTGGGCTGTGACCTCCTAGAAGCAAAGGCAATTCTTATTTGAGTTTATATTTACACTGTTGGACACCTGACCCAGCACCCCGGAGGCACTAGGCGAATGTTGAATAAATGAGCAAATAAATAAGTAGCAGTTTGTGACAGGAAAATAAACTGTCATGAAAGTTAGCACATTGATCATTAAGAACCTTACCCCATAATGGGAACATCTTGTATTTTGATATCAGTCCTTTACAGAGCCATTCATTTATTCATTTGGCAACTATTTACATGCACCTCCTGTGCTCCAGATACTTGTTGTAGGTCCTGAGGCTATGAAGTCACAGGGACAGGCCTGCACCCTCTGAGTTGCGCCTGCCGCGCAGTGTGGGAGGCGGACGCACACGTGAGTGGCTAGCTTTAGAACAGCACAGTAGGGGAGGGCGCCCTGGCTGTAAGAACAGAGGTCTGTGGAACAAGTACAGGAATAAGCGACCCCATCAGTTCGGGGACACTGGGGAGCCTCCTCAGAGGACAGGACATTTGCAGGAAGTCAGAGAAAACTAGTCAGTTGGCCTGGAGAGACAGAAAATGGACTCCAGCCTCAGAGAATCCCGTTTTCCACGGCCGAAGCCTGGTGGGAGGGTGTTTTATTGCTGTTGTCATCGTCACCGCAACAACGGCGACTGCTGGCATTTATTGAGTCCACGTTACCTTCCAGTGTTAAATGTGTTAAATGCCAAAGCTCTATGCAGACGAATAACCTACCAGAAATATCTGTGCCATTTCTCTCCATACATCATATGGGTAGGGAGGATAGGTTTTATTATCCTTTCTAAGAAGTGAGAGACTTAAGGCTCTCATTCCCTTTGTGTTCTCTCAAAACTGGCATCTGAATAACCTAGTAAATAACCTAGTAAACCTAGAACTTATTGTTTGTTTACTTCATAAGTTGTCTTACTTTCTTCTTGGCATCCATCATTATTTGGTATATACGAGGTCTGTCCAGAAAGTATCCATCCATATGCTATGCAAAATAGAGACATTTATTGAAGAAGATGCAAGATGCAAGAAACATTGTACACAAGACAATGACACCTCAGTCGTCTTCACACGAGGCACCTTGGGACCTCACACAGTTCTCCCAATCACCATCAGCTGACCTGTCATATTTTACTGAATCTCATCGATGGTCTGAAATCTCTTCTCTCTCAAAGGTGATTTTAGTTTTGGGGAAAGCCAGAAGTTGCAGGGTGCCAAATCTGGACTGTAGGGGGCATGAGTCACCTGGGTGATTTGATGTGTTGTCAAAAACTGCACGAGACATAATGCATGAGCAGGCACATTGTGGTGATGAAGCTGCCAATCACCAGTCGCCCATAGCCCTGGCTCTCTGAATCATCCAAATAGTTTCTACGGAGGAATGTTGAAGCTTAACACAAAATATGATGCAGATTCATTGCTCTGCTTACTTAGTCATTTTGAATGTGATGGCCACACAGTATACATGCTCACTCAACGACTAGTACAGTGAAGTCGTCATTATTCACATGTGTGCATTCTAGTCCATTCTCCTTGGCTGCCAGATTACATCAATGTTGCACAAACTATTCTTGTTATATTAACAATGGTTGGACTTTTCCCGACAGGCCTCATATATATGTATATATATGTGTGTATATATATACACATTTTATTTGGTATATGATATATATATATATTTGGTGTATATATATGCACACACCATATATATCATTTCCTTATGATATATAGTATATATTATATATACTTATATTTAAACATATCCATATATTTAAATTTGAGCACGGTCTCTTTCTACAAGGTGAGTTCCTTTAGCGTAGGTTCTTTGCTGCGTTCACTGCTGTATCCCAAGCACACAAGAGGCCCTCCATGAACAGTTGTCGAGTAAAGGAGGGAAAGAAGGAACTGGTGGGGTTACTATGTAGAATCATCAGTTAAAAATGGTGGTCAAGTTTTTTCTGATGAACACAACTGTATCTGATTTCTCGTTTTCAGACAGCACAGTTTAACTGGGATCCAGAGACAGTGGGCTTTATCCATGGATCTTTTTTCTGGGGTTATATTGTGACACAAATTCCAGGTGGTTTCATTTCAAACAAGTTTGCTGCTAACAGGTAAGATATACGTATACAACGTATGCAACATGGGTGTTGCATGGACCATGGCATGGCTTTGTAGTTTTACCAAGTCTGCAGAACTGGCGCTTGATTTGGGGCTACAGAGTGGAAGATAGGAGCCATCCCAATAGATGTGATTCACAGATATCAGTTCCATGTGATCCTGTTCTTAAGAGTCTCCTTTGATTTGATCTAGTTTATCTTGCAATTTTTAAAATAATAATGTAGTAAAAAGAACAAGTGACTCTGAGTTAGGAGAAACAGCTTCTGAACCCTAAGTAACTCCTGTGGTGACCTCTACTGAGTCACCTTCCTTCCTGCTCTGGGCCTCAGTTTCCACACCTGTGAGATAAAGCATGGATTAGATTGGGTTTGAGCTCCCTTTGACCAGGGACATTTTGTGATCCTGTGTAAATATCATGCAGTAACATACACGCTTTGTCATGTGCGCAGTAGGGTCTGGCCTCTAGAATGCAAGATGTCTTTAATGTCCTTGGGATTCCATAGTAGGTGTTTGAGCAATTAAAAGTAGCCAGGACAGATGAGGTGCCACAAGAAGCAGTGAGTTCTATCACCCAAGGTATTCAAGCAAAAGGAGATGGGCACTTGGAGGAGAGGTAGGGTGTCTGTGTGCAAGGAAAGGAGAGTGCTAAGTATTTCCAGGTCCCTTCCAATTTGTGTCCTCTGTGAGTTTGTGGATTTTGTGAAGCATGCATTTGATAAAGCAGTGTTTTTATTTTATTTTTTCAAAGAATATTTTTTAAAGGTTTTATTTATTTATTTTTAGAGAGGGGAAGGAAAAGAGAAAGAGGGCAACAATGTGTGGTTGCCTCTGGTGCGCCCCCCAATCTGGCCGGCAACCCAGGCATGACTGGGAATTGAACTGGAGACTTTTTGGTTCATAGCCCATGCTCAGTGTACTGAGCTACACCAGCCAGGGCCAGTATTGTTGTTGTTGTTTTTAATAAAGATTTTATTTATTTATTTTTAGAGGGGGGGTGGGAGGGAGAAAGAGAGAAAGATCAATGTGAGAGAGAAACATTGATCAGTTGCCTCTCCTATATTTCCCCTCCGGGATGAACCAGCAACCCAGGCATGTGCCCTGGCCAGGAATTGAACCTGTGACTTTTTGCTTTTCAGGATGATCCCCAACCCACTGGGCCACACTGGCCAGGGCTAAAGCAGTGTTTTTCAAATTCTAAAACACAAGTCTTTAGATGGTAATAAAATCAATATAATTATTTACCAATGAGCATTTTCTAAAAAAGAGAGGGACAGAGAGAAATAGAAGATAATTAAATAGAATAAAACAATAAAAAAAATAGCTCATTACACATTTAAGTTTTGATTTTTGAAACTTTTTCAGTTACATGTGTGTGCATGAGGATGTATTGGGCTGTAATATAAAATATATTTTATTTTATGGGTCAAAGTAAAAACAGTTTGAAAGTCACAACCATTAAGATCCCAATACATATAAGCATGACTGTATTTACTTGCGTTCTTGTCTAATTTGCATCCTGTGTTATTGTCACTTACCTACTATATTCTTTTCAGAAAATTACAAAATATTGGCTCCTGTGGTCTCTCAGGTTACTTCTTACACTTCTGCCCAAAAAAGAAACCATGCATAATTTCCCAGCCTGTGAAATGGGCTGAAGCATCATTAACGTGTGTGAGAAAGGAAGGAAATGACGCCTGCTCTCTTTCCCCAGGACACGCTGGTCAAGGCAGGGAGGAGAAGGCAGGTGGCACAGGGCAGAGGGGTGGGGGCTGAGACAGGTACACAGTCTGTCTTGCACTTGGCTGGCCCCAGGGCACAGCATGCTTCTCAGGTGGTCTGTATCCCCTCCTGGTAAAGTGAGAGCAGAACCGTGAAGCAGGAGATACAACCCAAATGTGCACAAGCCATGAGGTAATAGTCAGAATGCGTCAGTTGGGTAGAACCAAGGAGAATGGTGGTTCTCCAGCCAGGTCACCCCATACTGGTCAATCTCCAGTGTCAGGACCTCATCCGGGCAGGACATCCCTGTATTGCCAAAAACATGCCCATGATGCCCGTGGTTGGTCCAGGCACTGGAGCTTGGAAATCAACGCAGCCCAGCAGTCTCAGTTGGGACACACCAGACAGCAACACATCTATTTTTCTTTCTATTAATTTCCATAGTGGTCTTCCGTGAACTGTTAGGCTTGTTTCTGCTGTTTAACTGAAGTGCCACACCCATGAGCAGGCCTGCCCGATAACGCAGTGTTTTGGTCCCTCAGGGTTTTTGGAGCCGCCATCTTCTTAACATCGACCTTGAACATGTTCATTCCTTCTGCAGCCAGAGTGCACTACGGCTGCGTCATGTGTGTCAGAATTTTGCAAGGTCTAGTGGAGGTAGGAGATTCTCTCCTCAACTGTTTCTGACATCACTGGGGACCATGTAGTCCTTTAGAAAATCCAGCTTCTGAAGAAAACTCCTTTTACTCACTTTTCCTGTATTCCACCTTGTATTGCTGTCTCCACTCTCTGGCTATGACTACAGTTATGAGTACTTTATTTTAAAAGCATTGTGTAATTCCAAATTTAAATACAATAAAGGGCCGTTTCGTAGAGTGCAGAATTTTAGCTGAGGAAGGAATGATATTGGAGATTATTGAATCCAACGCTTTTCATTTAATGATGAAACTGAAGCCCCAGACCTACAGGTCACGTAGCAAGGGCTCTTCCCACTATAACAATTTACATGAATTTATTAATAAATCTGTAGACTTTCAAGAGTATAGTCTTAGGCAGAGATTTAACTTAGTAGCACAAAACAGCCAGGGGACTTTGCCAACTACTCCACTCTGCCATGTAGTGATAAGGTAGCTGAAGAAAGTACGTTAACAAATCTGCATACCTAGGTTCCCCAAAATGTAAAAACACAGAACCTCATTGTAAGCAGCAATATCTTTGAAATCATGGGTTTGCTGTGCTAGTTACATTTTTTTCTGAAGCATGGTACAATGTATGTGTCACAATTACATTAAAAAGTGCAGGTTGTTATAGCACCTCAAATCCTCCTCTAGCCCCACTGGAGTGACATGTACCACATTTCTGAAAACACTGACATGGTGGAAAGACCATGGTATTGCAGCCACAAGGACTAGTCTAGTTACTCAATGGCGCTAAACCTCAGGTTCTGTATCCTGAAATGAAAGGATGGACCAGCTGATTGTGGAAGTCCCTTTCTCTGGTGATATTCTGTAGAATATGAAATACAAAGGCCCTCTCCCCCACTGCCCACCATGCTTACATTTGAAGTGACATTCCAATTTGAGCATCTGTGCTGTCAGTCAAAATAGCATACTGTTTAGTATCTATACATTGGGTGTTTATATTGTAGCCTGTGTTAAAGACTCAGGATCCACATTTTAAACACACACAGAAACTGGAGTCAAATCAAATAATCTATTTCCAACCATTCTGCCAGGGCGTGACCTACCCAGCCTGCCACGGGATGTGGAGTAAGTGGGCACCACCTTTGGAGAGAAGCCGACTGGCCACGACCTCTTTTTGTGGTAAGTGTATTAGAATCATAACAAGTTCCATTTAGGAATGCTTTAGGCTTCCAGTGAAGATCGCACTAAACAGAAGTCCAAAGGTGAGTGGTTGCTGGTGTTGGTTCTGTGCCCAACGATCCATCCATCCAGGGCCTACCTATGTTCTGACTTCCTACTGCACGGTGCTGTGATAGCCTTTTACTCTCATACTTGTTCCTCATGTTCATGTGACAGCCGTCATAGCTCCAGGCATCAAGTCCACATTAAGGCAGGAAGAAGGGGGAATGGGTATCCTAGACACATCTGTTCCAGTCATTAGAAAAGCAAAAGCTTTTCCAAACCCCGCTAGCAGACTTCCACTTACAATTCCTTGGTCCTGTTTCTGTCATATGCTTTTCTTACCACAGAGAAGGCTAGGAAAGCAAGAGCCTAGCCTTTCCAGCATTGTGAGGAGCGGAAGGTAAAAAAGAAGGAGTTGGAAATGGTAGTTGGATTATCCATCAAATGATATTTGCCAAAGTCAAAAGCCAAAGAGACAGAATCATTAAGCCCCCACTCCTATTTTTTAGAGATGGAGAAACTGAGATTAAAATGTGAAGTTTAGTTTTATTGAACTGAAACTAAAGTTCAGTAACTTGCCCAAGTTCACATAACTACCAAGCCGTGGAGCTGGAGCTACACCATCTGATTCTTGATTCAGAACTTGATTCACTACTACTCACTCACTCACTCATACTGTGTCTACATTGTCCTACAGACCCTTTAATTAATTTTCATGATTACATTCCAGACAAAACAAAGTGGAGACCACTCACCTTACCTGATGGTGAATTAGTGGCTCTTAAGTAGTGATGTGACTTTAATTTCTGGGTCTTCAGACTTCACTGGCTAAGGTTGCCTCACTCTGAGCTGTGGCTTGGGGGCCGCCCCTCTGAATCTCTGGGAGTAGTGTGCTTTCTGAAAGGTCTTGTTAGATACCAGTCAACAATTGAACAAGGACAGCAAGTGCTCCCCTGTCAACACAGTTATATAATATATTTTCAATTTTTTTTTAGGGGGAAATGGTTCAGGAAGACAAAAGTGACTTAGGCTGCACAAGTCACAATGAGGCCCGGCAGAATTAGGTTCAGAATGTAGGTCTGTCTAGTTTTTCAAGCTAACGTGCATTTTCTAAGAGAAGCTAACCTGTACTTCTTAGCTACAGGGAGAAGTAAAGCTTCCTCTTTATGTCTGTGAATATTTTTATTTCTCCCTTGTTCTTTCTCTCTACCTCCGTAAATCATCATCATCAGCCTTGGAATTCAGTGTGTCATAGCCACCAATGTGCCTAGTCTGTGCCTGTTTTGAAGCTGCATGCACAGCCGAGGTGTCTCTACATCTTTAGCGCCTCTTGTCTTCAGACACCACTTCTGTCCTCTTGTTTGCAGTTCAGCTTCATCGCTAACCCCCACTACTGACCTTACCGACTCTAGAAAAAATATAAGATTTTGCCCCAGCTGGCTTTAGGTGTTATCAGAGCCTTGACCTTAGTTTCCTTGGAGGGTTTATTTAAGGCATTTCATTTTGATTCACCAGCAAAACAAGCATGACTAATGCCACTCCCCATTCTTAGTGTCTTTACAGTCCTAAAAGGGGTTGGTTTAAGAAATGGTTGGACTCTCCAGGGAAGCACCTGATCAAAGTCACAGGCTTTATTACATTTCCCAGCTAAGGTGTGGCCTTGGTTTCAAAGAACAGCCAAGGGAAAATGCCATTAGAAGGAAACCCAGGCCTGGGGCTAGTTGGTTCTTATACTGAATTGGTTCTTATATTGGAGTTGGGAAGGACTTTAGAAAACATCCAATAGGTATTGTTTTATAGAGGAAAAAGAGGATGGGGGAAATATAAATTTCATGATGGGTAAAGACAGAACTGGGGAGTCCCTCGCCCCTCATGCAGCCATTCCCCACTCTTCACACCATTCAAGAAGCATCCGAGGGCTTCCTCTGTCCACTGTGGTGAGCACACAGAGGGATGGAGGCGCAGTCAGCTCCCCTGGGCAGTGTGGGTGAAGTGCCTCATTGGGGTGCACTCAGGGGCTGTGCGTGGGTGTGATAAGAGATTCCATGAAGCCACGTCCTAAAGGAGGAGAAAGAATTTGCTCAATAGGGAAGAAGGAGAGTTTCAAGTTATAAAATTTCCTGCAGGAAAGAATGCTTCTTACTGTGAGGAGTTCTAGGGCATTTTTGAGTGGGGGAGGCAGGCCTGAATCATTCAGTAGTTCAGCGTAAAGGCTTTGGGTTCCTACAGACCTTGGTTCCTGTCACACATAACTGTGCAGCCTCAGGCAACTTACCTTGCCTCTTCCAGCCGTGGTTCCCTTCTTGTAAAATGAAGGTGATATTGGTACTAATGTCATCAGGTCAAAAAGAAGATTAAGTAAAATCACAGGCCCAGCACAGTGCTGGGTACTCAGAAAGCACCCAGTGCGTCTTAGTTGCTGGTTACCCCCGATCCTCCCCGTCCTGGCCACTTCTCTGCATCACCTAAACAGGAGCCTTCCATCCCTCTCCCAGGGCGTTTGGTTTGGGGAAGAAGACCACTTTCTCTACAGACACACAATGGAGTTGGGTATAGCTCTTTCTGGAATGCTCTGGAATGCTTTATTGCTTTGAGGAAGTCTGAGGTTAAAAAAAAGTGCACTGTCATTCTGTACATGACAGTAGCAGTGATAGCTGGTCTTTATGCATTACTAATTATAGCTATAAAATATCTTCACATACATGGGTTATCTGCTCCTTTAGTTGACTGCCTGACACAGAGATTTCATCTCATCTTCTTCCTGAGGAACATGGTTTAGAGAGATTGAGAGACTTCCTCAGGTGTCGTGATGTCCAGATTTGGGATTCCAGGTTGGGCCTGTCATAGCCAGTCAGGCCCAGTTTGGAAAGATGGGATTTAATCCCTTTCTCTGGGGTCCCCAGACTCCCACCGCCCACAGGTCTTCCTTGACATTGCATTCTGGGATAGAAAATTGCCTTTTGCAGCTCACTTTTTCTGAAGTGAGAATTTTTTTCATTCATAGCCCAGAGGAAATTTCAGATAGCTATTTTTTTTATTTGGCTAATATTTATTGGGAGTTCGCTGGGCTCATGTTTCTCTAGCAGACATTACGGATCTGCAGGAGATGGTGGTGGCCAGGTCACTGCCTGTGTGTGCCCTGGTTACCTTGTCTAGACAAGATAGACAGTCCCATATAGGTATTTACCAGGTTAAGTATTTAGAAAGTAAGGGGGCAGATGGTCATCCTGCCATTTAACTGTTTCCTGATTTAAAAAAAAAAACAAGATTCTCAAAAGCATGATCCTTTAACAGTTTGAAGCCCCTTGTTTAAAGACGTAGGTGATAACCCTCACTACGAGCTCTGACAGGCGGATCCGTGTTTCTTCACTTGCTGTCTTCAGCACCCAATATTGTGCCTGGTTGAATTTTTCAGACTCCTCTCAGCTTTTTCTCATCTTTTTATTCCATTTTGTCATTAATTTTAATTTGTTGTTCCTGAGCGATCTTTGTTAAATCTCTCCATGGTACCTGGTTGAAGTTCAAGGGCATTCTACTAACTTTCGTCTGCTGGAAGCCCTGTTTTAAGGCACACTGGGAGTTTGCTTGTCCCTCTGCAGGGAGGCATTCTGACTCCTGCCTGGTTTGATCTGACCTCAACCCAACCACATGAACTCTGAACGGGTAGGAAGGGCTTACAGGACGAGTGGTAAGCATCTTGCAATCTTTTCCTGTCCTAGGTTCCTATGCGGGGGCAGTGATCGCCATGCCCCTGGCGGGCGTGCTGGTGCAGTACATTGGCTGGGCCTCTGTCTTTTATATTTACGGTGAGTGGTTTGACTTCATGAGTTCCCATGGGTGGCTCATGGAGATGGTATTTTACTGTATAATGGGATAGGCTAAGCGCTTCCTCTATGAAAATAGAGATTACTAACCCAAGTTTATCATATGAAAAGAATCCTTGTTTACCTATGATTCATTTAACATTTATATTAAATTTGAGTTTCTTAAGAAGCAGAACATTATCTTTCTTCAAATATCAGTGAATAACCACAAAATACTTTCTCCTAGCTGAGCATAGTATTGTTTGGGAATATTTTGAAAATTGAAAAATTTAGAGATGGAAGAAAATGAGACCATCTCATCAAGCTCTCTGTTTTTTTTTAAACTGCAGGTATGTTTGGCATCATTTGGTACATGTTTTGGCTGTTGCAGGCCTATGAGTGCCCGGCAGCTCATCCGACGATATCGGATGAGGAGAGGACCTACATAGAGACAAGTATAGGGGAAGGAGCCAACTCGGTTAGTCTGAGTGTAAGTATCCACGGAGAGGTGAAGACCTGCCTCTCTCTTCCCTATAAGAATTTCTCTGAGTGATTGCATTGTCCTCTTAAGAAAAATAACCTGTGAACCGATGGTTGCCAGATGGGAAAGGGGTTGAGGGGCTGGGTGGAAAACGTGAAAGCGCTAAGAAGTACAAGTTGGTGATTACAGAACAGTCACAGGGATATAAAGTACAGCATAGGGAATATAGTCAATAATAGTGTAATAAGTATGTATGGTGCCAGGTGGGTACTAGACTTAGAAGGGGAATCACTTTGTAAATTATGTAAACATCTAACCACTACACTGTACACCTGAAACTAATAAAAAATAGTATTGAATATCAACTGTAATTGATAAATAAAAAAATGACATGTCAATATATTCACTAAAAATCCCTTCCTATTTTTACCCTCTAGAAATTTAATACACCGTGGAAAAAATTTTTCACATCATTGCCGGTCTATGCAATCATTGTAGCAAATTTTTGCAGAAGCTGGACCTTTTATTTGCTGTTAATAAGTCAGCCTGCTTATTTTGAAGAGGTCTTCGGATTTGCAATAAGTAAGGTAAACACATAGATGCATCAGATGTTCTCGAACTTTAAATCTCTCGCTTCTACTGAGAAAAATCTTTGCATGTTAAAATAAGTTGCTGCCTGTAATTTATAATCCTGGAGGTCTGACAAGTCATACATTTTGTGCATAGTGTACATAGTTCTTTAATTTCTCCTTAGTAAGGGTCAGAGCTGTGGTAAGCTGCTTTTTAAAGATTTATGTTCTATACGACCTCAAAGTGTTTTTTTGAAGCTAACTCAAGGATGGCATATTAGACAAGGATAAAAAGATTTAACAGTGAGAGGGGTTTTTTTTTTCTTCTATAAATTACTCAGTGAATAGCAGTAAGAACCTTAAAGCTTATTTGGCAGATCATCCCCGTCTCCATCCCTGCCTTGTGTAAGTGCCCTTTTCAGTGTTCCCCGGCCATTAGGTTGCCTGTGTTTCAGGGAGGGAGGGTATGAAACGTGGAACTGACACCATCACCATAAAAGAGTTAAGCCTCCTTCTACCAGGGAAGAGAGACAGCCTGGGGGAGGTAGATGCCCGCAGAGCTGCAGGGACTGTCCAGAGTGACTAGGGGAGAGCTAACGTAGTCAAGCCACAGGAGGTTCCACCAGCGACCATTCACTCTGTGCCAAGGGTCTGACTACCATGCACCAGGCATTGCGCTGGGCGGTGGGGCCGCTGTGATGAATGAAAGTCGTCTCTGCCCTGAAGGGGCTTCCAGTCTGGTGGAGGAGACAAGTAGGTTGACCCTTAAACTCATTTACTTATTCATTGTTTATTTATTACAAAATTCGGGCCCACCAGGGTCCCACATAATTAGCTGATTGAATTTGGTGGTGCTGGGGGTGGGCAGTGTCGCTTGGTGAGTGTGCAGGGAATTAGGACAGCGCATCTCCCAGCAACAGCAAAGAATAGCTCATTGTTTCTCTTCATCCAGGTGGGTCTCCTGTCGGCACTCCCACACATGGTCATGACCATCATTGTACCTATCGGAGGACAGCTGGCTGATTATTTTAGAAGCAGAAAAATTTTGACCACAACTGCTGTCAGAAAAATCATGAACTGTGGAGGTACTGTGGATTTCATAGGTGCTTTAAAGCAGCTTTTATAGAAAGAGGTGAAACTGAACTGCAGAGCATGTTTTGGAGGTTATGTCTAATCACTGGAAAGGATATTAAAAGCCCCTAAGTCTGCCCCCTAGCAGATACTTGAATGTCCTTCACACCCCCGCCAAGTGGTCGGCCAGCCTGTATTTGTGCAGCCTGCGATATGACAACCTAGTTGGTAAATCAATACGCACCTGCAGAATGCTTCTTTCATCTGCTGTGAAGCTAAGGCAACAGGATTTCCTGTGAGAAATCTGTTTATTATTGATCTTTCCCATACATTTTCCACATATAGAATTCTTTGCTTATGTAGTTCATTCCCTTATCTCCGCCTTCCCTATCTACACGTACACATGTTAGTAAGAAACATAAGAAAAACGGTTTCTCTGAATAGTCTTCTTTCCTCTGACGTATTCTCGTGCAAGGAGTGCACACACACACTCCATTCTCTTCCCTGCTTTCTTTAGTCCCTGCTTTATGTTTTCATTTTGCAAAGGCAAAGTAGAAGTTGGGTGATTTTCCAAAAGAGGTAGATAAAGGTAGTCATGAACCCCTACAATGTTTGTGACTGATCATCTTCTTAAAACTCTACATTGTCGTATTATCTCTCTTGTTGTACTTTAAAAATTAGCATTTATTGAATGCTTTCTGTGCCAGCCATGAAGCTAAGTTCTTTACACATGTAATCTTATTTATTCCTCATAACCGCCCTGTGTAGCAAGTGGTATTATTAAGCCCAATTGTGGTGAAGAACCTAGGGTATGATGGGGTGACTTGCTCAAGTGGCAGATCATATACAAAATCCTGAAAAAGGCAAGAACAGATTTTCCCCTGTCTTTTTATATTTTGGCATAATGGACGGCTGGGGCCGGTTCTTGGGAGGCCTTGTCAACGTACGCAGGGCTCGGGTTTTATTTGAAATGCAGTTGGGAAGCAGACGGAGGGTTAAAGCAGGAAAAGGGACGTGGTCTGATTTACATTTTCAAATCTGTGTAACTGAACATATGACACCAGAGTAAAAAAGGCGACCAGCTAAGAAACTATTTCATTTTTCTGTCAAGAGAAGATGGTGGCTTGAACTGAACTAGTATCAGTGGAGGTAGAGGGAGGTGGGTAGATTTCTAAGTTCTCCAAGCCTAACTGTCTTCTTTAAAATCTGAATAATAATATTGACCTCAGATGATTGTTATAAAGGTTCAACGAGACAGCATAGACATGAATCCAGCATGGGTCCAACATATGTTAGTGCCCCTCCTCCTCCTGTGTTCAAGACACTGACAAAACAGAAGATTTCCAATGGAGACATTCAATAAATATCCACTATTCAATTGTATTTCCTACAGCCAGAAGTATGCACCCTCTAAACCTGGAACTTGGAAGAAAATTCTGGATTAAACTAGACTTGCACAACCTCTTCTAAAGACAGATGCCCTGTGGACTCTAAACCTGTTTTTATAGGAGTGTCTTGTTCATATTCAGTTTTGCTTCCATCACCTTGGCCATTGTTTCTGCATAAACGGAAATGCCAGTGTTTGCTGCTGTTGGTGAGAACTCTCAAAATTAAGTAGTACCAAAGTGCTTGTTGAGAGTAATCTCCTTCCCCTCCCCACCCCCACTTCTTCTTCCTCTTCTGCTCAGAAACTGGAATGCATATGTAGAATCTCACCAGCCTCAACTTGATCTTTAAAAGAAACACAAACAACAACAAAAAAACCCTGCTTCACATGTCTTTTCATGTGATTTTATATTTTGATATAACAGAAACAGTGAGCTCTACATAGAAAATTAAAAAAAAACACCCCACAATTGTCCCTCTTTGCTTAGCTGCAGAGATGCTAGACTAGAGATAAATACCTGAAGGTAGAGTTTTGTGCCATTGCCGAATGAGCCAGATTGATATGGACATGATGAAGCATTTGCATGATTGTCTAGAGAATTTCAGTTGGTTTCATATTTCCTAAGAAGACACATATATGACACTTTTCATCTGAGAAGACACACACTTCTTGGAGTCAGTCATCTTCTCTTTCCGTGGGCAGGAGGTGTTTGCTGCTAGAATCATTTAAAGCGATCAGATCACCTTAAGCCATGATGCTCTGTTCTAGTTTATTCTGAGTCAGGGTGCATCTCCAAGATCCTCAAAGACGGTTGTCAAATTCTCATACCTCCCTCTGGAGTCATGTGAAGTGTGACGAAGGTCAGAATTCTAGTCTGGCTGAATCGGTGGTCTGTATGACTTCAAGTTGTCTCAATATGAAATGAAAACATTTATCAGGCATTTAAATCCTATTTTTTTCTTGTTTTAGCTCTGAATAGGTTCACTTTCAAGAGTCTCTTGATTACTCCTGAAGTTCCTATTCTACCCTTAAGCTCCTGAAACATATAGTCCTATTTCTAGCACTTTCACTATAGACAGAGACCATTTAGGCCCTTAATTCTTTTTTTTTTCCTTGGAAATCTACCATTTAGCAAAGATCTTTTTTTTCTTCTTCTTATAGATGAGTCAGTGTATCACTTGCAAGTTTTATTCTTCACACAATGTCTTTGCTAACTTTCTGGTAAAACCTTTGTTGAGACCATTAAGATAAAAGAAGTTTCATCCATGTGTCTTGTTATTCAAGACAGGCCATATCTGAAACATGTATAGTGAGTATATAAAACACTAGAACTTTGCCCTATGTATAAATTAAGTTGCTGAAACAAAATGAATGGCAATGACTTGGTAGCAATGATATCAAGCCCATGGTTTAAAAAACACCTTTGGCCCATGATTTTATTGATCCTTTTTAGAGGTCCATCAAAAACAATTATTGATGCTTGCTTCGTTTCTATGATAGTTTAGAGGAAATGAACTCAGAAAGGTAGGCAACTTATCAAGGTTTACAAAAAGTGCTTGTATTTCAACTTAATTACTTTGATTCTCCTTTTTTCCCTTTGCGTTAGTCCATCTATTGAGTGTTCACTACTTGTTAGCCAGGCTCTGTACTTTATACGGTACTTCCCTTGGGAAATATCACAGTTTAGTGGGGGGAGGGGCGCGTGCAGAAACACGAGTGACAAATTACAAGGCAATGTTGAAAAGTTCTGTAAGATAAATGAGAAGAAAGAGATACCAGTCTCACTGGTGATTGAGTGCAGGGTTGTCAGAAAAGCTTCCTAGAGGAAGTAATATTTGAACTGGACTTTCAAGGATAAGATTTCTCCAGAAAAAGAGCAATAGTGGTGCGAGAGGAGTATCCCAGGTGAAGGAACAGCCCGTGAAAATACATATCGGCATCCAACAGTGCTGTGATTAGGAAATAGCTGACAGCCCTGTGTGACCTTGGCAGAGGGCTGTCCGTGGGCTAGCTGGTGGGCGGGCATGGGAGGGCTGGCAGAAGGTGAAACAAGAACAGCAGGAGGGACTTGTTCTGAAACATTATACTAATAATGTGGAAGCCTTGACGAAAGTTTTAAGTAAAGGGACAGCTAATTAGACTTGTGGTTTAGAAGGACAGTGATGTACACCATGGTGCAGAGGAAGAAGATGTGGGAAGACCAGTGAAGAGGCTATTGAAGTTGGCTGGGTGAGAGGTAATGGGGCCCGGGGCTAGGACAGCGGCAGAGGGGGAGAGGGCAAGCTGGTTTGGACAGCTGTTTCTGAGGCTGAGCCCACAGGTTCTTAGCTAAACACCAAGGAAGGGGGAGATTTTGAGATTTCTGTGTTGGAATTTTGGTTTCCGTTTGTTGAGCTGTGCCCATGTACCAGGGACAGCACTCAATACCTCAAGTACCCAATTTCATGTAATCTTCCAGAGTGCCCTGTGAGGTTGTATGATTCGCTCTGTTTTGGGGGATGAGGAATCAAAGAGGTGAAGTGACTTGTCCAAAGTCACACAACGAGTGAGTTTGAGGTGGAGTCTGAACGCAGGCCTGACTGACTCCAAAGTCTGGGTTCTGAACACGGGTGGATAGAAGATTAATTTACAAAAGAAGAAAGAGCATGGTTGTGGTGATTTGCCTTGTTTGTTTATGAGTAAAAAATAGGAGAACGGAGACTTGATAGGAGCATGTTGTCTTTGAGGTACCTACAGGACAGGCGTGGGGAGATGTCTGGAATCAGCAGACGGTCTTCAGAATGACACATTCTTATCTTCCATTTGCTAGGGCACTTTATACCTGGGAATGGTACTTATACCACCCTCTGTCTGCTGTTGGCTGAATGTGTGTGTGTGTGTGTGTGTGTGTGTGTTGTTTTATTTTTGTTTGTGAGAGGAACATCTCTAGAATTTCCTCATCTTTTTTTTTGTTGTGGAGGAGTCACTTATTCTGAATGAAAGGAACAGAAAGTACTTTTATCCTGATGCATCTTCTGTGAAAATATGTCATAGCTTTTTTTTTTTATTGTTGTTCAAGCACAGTTGTCTCCATTTTCCACCCACCCACCTCCCACCCTCAATCCTACCACCCTAATATGCTGTAGCTTTTAGACGGACACCTGAGAGCTTGGTGCACTTCTGAAAGGGAAGGATTTTGCTTTGTGCTTTTTGCTTCAAATATTCATTATAGCTTTCTAGTCACTTTCAGCAATCAATATTAGAGTATTGCCATTTTATTTTTTTTGTGAGAGGCCATACCATACAACCAAAAGGGACTCATTGGCAATATAAAGGAGTTTTAGTGTTTAGAAATGACAGGGGCAACTATCTGTGGAGCAACTGATCATACACACCCCTCACCCCAGGACTTCATTGGAGTCTCTTTGGACTACTGGGTGTTCGAGGTGCACCCGATAACATCAGAAGACTCACAGGATGCCTGGGCGATGGCAGCATAGTCATGTAGCCAGAAACACCCGGGTAATACTGTAAGCACTGTGCCAGAAAGCATGTGCTGAAAATTAAGTCCATGGAGATATTAATATAGATTCTTATTTAAGAAATTCATGAACTTGGGCTGACTGACAAGACATTTTTTACCTTTGCTGTTTCCATTCGCAGGTTTCGGCATGGAGGCAACCTTACTCCTGGTGGTTGGCTTTTCCCATACCAAAGGGGTGGCCATCTCCTTTCTGGTGCTTGCCGTGGGATTTAGTGGCTTCGCTATTTCAGGTAAAGTGTCCTCTAGGTTTCCAAATGTTTTCTGTATGTAGGTCCAGCAAGTTTGAAGAGGAAGAAAGGAAAAACATACTGGATCACCTTCCTCGAGTAGGCGGGCCCTTCCTAAGGAGCAGAAGGCACTGGCTAAAGAATTTCATCTAGTGGGGGTGACTTTGTGAGTTCACTAAGGACGGGGCTTAGGAGCCCAGTCAAGCTGGAATTGCCTGTCATTTCTCCGTTTTGGAAAGAGGCACAAAGTGCCAGTGACCCTTCTCCTTGACTCATCTCTGACTGGAGAACTGCTCGTATTAGCTCATTTGACATCTAGTCATGGGATCAGACATTTTTTAGACTGGAAAGCTTTTCTAGATTTTGTCTACTCTGTGGCCTTCATTTTCCAAACAAGGAAATGCAGGTGCAGAGAGAGGAAGCGACTTTCTGAACCAGGTTAGGACAGGTAGTAAGAATAATAACAGTGACGGCGAGCGCTGACCTTGATCTGCGTACTCTGTGTCGGACTGTTCGAAGCCCTGTGTGTGTATTGACCCCTCTAGTTCTCGCAGCTACCCTCGGGGCTGCCAGCATCCCTGTTGTACAAGAGCAGACCGCAGTCGGCTGTGCGTGAGAGGTCAGAGCACTGTCATGTCATGTCTTACAGGCTTCAGAAGATCCCCATGCAAAACTGGGTAAAGAAGTTAAATTCAGTCATTCTTCCACCTTTAAAACATGCTGTAATACTAAAAATGATCGCTTACAGAACACTTTACATACAGTGTGCCTATCTTATGACAATGGGAAGCAAATAGTAATATCACTGTTTTGCTCATGAGGTACCTAAAACCCAGAAAAGTTGGGTACTTTCCTATGGTCATACAGCTGGTGGCAAAGGAAGATTTAAAGGGCTCTAGGCCTATGCCCTTCCCATCATTCCAGGCTGCTGAAAAAAATCAGAGTGGTAATATTCCAGAACAGAAAAATATGGAACTTCTGGTTTAAACTACCCTGAAATAGGGGCTGCATCCTATCAAAATAAATCTGGTGAATAGTTAAATTAGGAAAAAATGTCTACTTTGAAAGTAGCCTGCAGCTGAGAACATGGGTGTACATAGATCTGGGTTTGAGACCTCTCTTGACTACTTACTATTTGTGAAAGAAAAAGCCGCCAAGTTATTGAATTCTCAAGCCTTAATTTCTTCTATTAGAGATTGGAGAAATGGAAAGGCCACAGCCATAGGGCTGTGGTGAGGTCCCAACAAACTGAGATAATTTATGCATTTTTCACTCACAAGTCCCACAAATCAGGCACTGTTTCTGGCACGGGGATATTGCTTTGAAAAACAAAAAGATTCTGTTCTTATAAATAGTCTACCTTCTAGTGGAGATAAAGCATTTGAAACTCTCAGCCCAATGTGAGAGGCATAACAAAATTAATAACTATTCACTCTTATTGTTTAATTATTATTCACTATGGCCTTGTCCTTCTAACACTTAAGTGTACATACAAATCACCCTAGGATCTTGAGAAATGCAGGTTCTGATTCAGCATGTGCAGGTCTTAGATTCTGTCTTTATAGTAAGTTCGTCAGTGAAACTGCCGCTGTTGCTTAATGGTCCGTAGCTTTGGTAGCAGGAACAGAGCAATCGTGGCTGTTTCCAGTAGGATGTTGAAGAATACCTTCCCTATAGCCTTGTGATGCAAAAGAGATTCACATCCTGTTCACAGAGATTTTGGAATGTTTGGGTTCGTGTTGCTCCCAGATGGCCAACTAAACCACAATCAGAAGGAGTGAAACCCAGTACTCCAAATCACAGCAGCTGCCCATTTTTTTTAGCACTTACTCTGAGCTAGCCATTTTTTGGACATGGTCTCATTCAGTCCCTGTAGTAAGCCTGCAAGAAGGGTATTGTTATGTCCACTTGGCCAGTGAGGACCCTGGGGCTTGGAAAGGTGACTGAAGTGGCTGGGACTGAAGACAGTTTGTCTGAACTGACAGTGGTACGACGGGAAGGACTACAGCCACGCGGGCAAGAGTTCCCCAGGATCTGCTATTTGCCAACTTCCTGAGGAGTTAATAGGGATGCCAAGGAAGACTGGCGCAACTTAGGAACAGACTGTAGACAGTCTGTCTACAAAGAGAGTGGAGACGGGTGGCATTGAAAGATACGAGGAATGGGTGGTGCCTGTTTTGAGAAATATCCTGTGTAGAGAAGGCAGACTTTCCCAGCTTGTATACAAAAAATATTTTTTTGTCTGCTACAAAAAAATGTCTATTAATATCTCAGTTTCTCAGTGATCCCTGCCCCCCCCTCCACCCCGAATACCAGGATTGTGCAGTGAGAAACCTAAATGGCTTTTCTCACATTATCTTTAAGTGAGTTCTGGTGCCCGGACTTAGTTTTGTATCAGAATACAATACTCCACAGTCATATTAATTGCTTCTTATCTCTGGTTTCTTTTCTAATAAAGTGTTTATGACATTGAAATCAACAGTAAGATTAATTAATTTTGCAGCTGTTTCCTAATATTTCTAATTACTCTAATATATTAGAGTAATATATTACTCTATTAAAGTCTAATATATATTAGAGTAATATATTAGAATACTTAGAAATATTATAAATAATAATTTATAATATTATTATAAATAATAATATTTCTAATATGTTCTAATTGTCTGCCACTTTGATGTGAAAGAGACAGCACATTTATTAGAAAAAATGGTTTTCTCAAAATTTTTCCTGAATGGAGGTAGGAAAAAAACCCCAGCCAGTGTGCCACATTAGAAAAAAAATTTAAATCTTATTTTCAGGTTCTTTGAATAGAATAGAGAATTAAAAAGCAAAGTAGGGAAAAACAAAAATGTGAAGAAATAGAAGTTACAACCCCCTGCTGTAGTCTTATAGCTCAAGTTGATAACCAATAAAATAATGATTGATTGAGTGCCTACTATGTGCCAGACACTTTGCCAGTTCAGGGAAAACAGCGGTAGACAAGACAGATGGATACCCACCTGAAAAAACACACGTGCTGGTTTTCACCTGTATGTGCCATGTAATGAACACACATTATTTTGCTTGGTTCTTACACCAGTTCTGTAAGAATGGTTACGCCAGTTAATATAGGAACAAGGCGAGGTTCGGAAAGTGTGAATCCCTTGTCCAGGTTTGCATGTCAGTGAAGCTGCCAGGGGAGGCCCGTCTCACTCTAAAATGCACCCCTGGCAATTGGTACAGTTGGTTCTCAGGGCCCAAAGCCTCCCCTTCCACAGCCTGGCCCTTGCCCTGCCTTCGCTCCGCATGCTCCCCAAGCTTTCCATTCATTCTCTTCTCCCGATAAACAGGTGAATAGTGAGGTATTGTCATACCACTCCTTGCAGCGTTATCTTTTGACAGAAAACCTCAATAGGAGAGACTTGCCTAGTAACAATGTCACAGTGGGAGCAGTGGCAGTAATGGTAGTGATAGTGGTAGTTAACGATAGTGATACTAGTGGTAGTTAGTAGAGCTTAGTTATTTAACATGGGCGCTCACATACATACTTCCCCTGGGTCTCATATTACAGCATCTTTATGACTTAAGTAGTAATATTACCCCATATTAGAGATGAGGAAACAAAGGCCTAAAAATGACTTAAGCAGTAGAAATAAGATTAAAATCCAAATTTATGGACTCCAAATCAAGTATGTACATGAAGGTGTTTTGTAAATTACAGAGGATTCTGCCAATGTCTCTGCATTTGTATTATTTCAAAAGTGCCTGTCCTATTTGGCCAAGGCAAACTTACCTAGAGTGGCCTTTTGGGAGTGGGTGGGGCCCTGGGAGGCCTGGGAGCATATTGGAAGGCAGTTTGATTCCAATCACATTGAATGTGATTGTTTCCTCTGAGTAAATGTAATCCAGGCTTTCTGCTTTTTGGTATTTCCTAAAATGCCATTAGTTTGGAGTTCTGACCTTACATGTTACAGGTGCCATAATTTTCCATGGTAGACATTGCTAATCAATCACAGGACATTTTTCTGCTATGTGCAGCACAGCCTGACAATACTCAGTCCATTAGTAGAGTTATCCATTAGTCATATGCTAGAAGAAACCACCTAGATTGATGAGAGTTGGGGGAAGCTAAATATTTTTTAGAGCCTATTTGAAATTTTGGTCTTGACTCTGATTTTGAGGTTTGGGCTTCATTGCAGGTTTTAATGTCAACCACCTGGACATTGCCCCCCGTTATGCCAGCATCCTCATGGGCATCTCAAACGGAGTGGGAACACTCTCTGGCATGGTCTGTCCCCTCATCGTTGGTGCAATGACCAAGCACAAGGTAATGGTCTCCTTTTGGGCTATGAGTATCACAGGACTGAAATATTGCACAGATTTGAGATTTCAAAGCCCTATCCTAGCCTGTACGTGTGTATGTTTTTGGCCCGAGTCATTTGAACTTTTGTTTTTCTTTTTTTTTAAAGATTTTTATTAATTTATTTTTAGGGAGTGGGGAGGGGAAGGAGAAAGAAAGGGAGAGAAATATCAATGTGAGGTTGCCTCTCATGCACCCCCCACCTGGGACCTGGCCCTCAACCCAGGCATGTGCCCAGACTGGGAATCAAACTGGCGACCCTTTGGTTCACACAGGCCTGCACTCAATCCACTGAGCCACACCAGCCAGGGCTCTTTTCCTTCCTTCCTTCCTTCCTTCCTTCCTTCCTTCCTTCCTTCCTTCCTTCCTTCCTTCCTTCCACCCATCCATCCATCTTTCTTTCCCCTTCCTCCTCCTCCTGGTCCTTCTTCTTCTGTAATTTGTTGTATATTGATGGCAACAGGACTGGTTAATTTGGGTTCCATGTTTTCTGACCTGACAAATAAAAAGTGTGTGTGTATGGTGGGGACAAACACCATACTGTTGAGAGAGAGAGAGAGAGAGAACTGAGGCAATCAACTCAGGATGAATAAATTACTCCAGATCGTTTTACAATTCTAAGTATTTAAACTTTATAGCCAATTTCCATCTTTTGCTTAACATCTTCCAGCATAAAAATATTAGTGCTGTTTACTTCCTTATTATGAAGAAAATAAACAAGACACTAATGGCCCTTCCTAAGACCCTACAAGGGTATGACACTGGGTTGCTACTGAGCCTTTCTGTATTTACACCAGGGTGGTTGGCAGTAGAGGATCCTGGATCCATCCAAAGTTCAAGCACAGGCCACGTGGTTTCTTAGTCTCTGTCACTGGAAAGGTTTCAGGAGGCTGCTTTCTATAAGTAAGAATTTTTTTGATGTTATGCAGTTTTTAGCCAACTATTTTTTTAAGTTAGATTGCCTGTTACAAATATGACTTCAGATATTCTTCCAGCTTGTTGGAGAAGAAAATATAGGGCATTTTTTCTTATTTTTTAAAAATATATTTTACTGATTATACTATTACTGTTGTCCCATTTTTCCCACCTTTACTTCCCTCCACCCTGTACCTCCCTCTTCCACCTGCATCCCTCCCACCCCTTAGCTCACATCCATGGGTCGTACATATAAGTTCTTTGGCTCCTCCATTTCCCATACTATTCTTTACCTCCTCCTGTCTATTTTGTACCTACTATTTATGCTTCTCATTCCCTGTACCTTTTCGCTCATCCTCCCCTCTCCCCCTTCCCACTGATGACCTTCCATGTAATTTTCCTTATTTTTTGATAGAAAAAGAAAGGTGGGATTTGGGGATTTTTATAGGCAGAGGATCCACGTTTTCCCTCTCGGTTCCTGAGATGATAAGATTTACAACATGGCAATTAAATCTCAGATACTATCTTCCCCAACTTTAAAAACAAATACCCATTGTTTTTGATGATGTATTATACACAGAAAATATAATTTTAAATAGTAAGCTATTGAAGTGAACTCTGAGTATTTTCACGGTTCGAATTGTTACATAGCCAACAGTAAGCAAGAAGGAGACTGCTGATATTTAAAATGGTGGGTTCCTAAAGCAAGGTTCATTTAACCTACTAGGTGAGTGGAAACCTCATTTGTATATTCAGAGAGCTGTGAAATGGTGCTGCATGCGTTTTACATGATGCTTATTTTGTAAAGTATTTTTATAAATTAAAAGGTGCATTTTCAGCCCTGGGCAGGTTGCTCAGTTAGTTGGAGCGTCTGAAAATGCACAAACAGTTGTGGGTTCAGTCCGAGTTCGGGTCGTGCGTGGTTAGGCAACCGATGGATGTTTCTCTCTCACAGTGATACTTCTTTCTCTCTCTCTTTCTCCCTTCTTCCGCCTCTCCTTCTCCCTTCCTCTCTCTCTAAAATCAATAATAGAAAATGTCTTCCGGTGAAGATTTAAAAAATGCATTCTTATTGTAGTCTTAACTTTAATTTTTTAAATGCTCGAACTTTGTTTGGATCCTGGGCATGCTTCTGACACATGTCTTTCCAAGAAGCATGACATTGTCTTTGGGGGGACCGGCTACTCTTGTCCCAGAACATACTGTTCGTCTCTTTTTTTCTTTGTTTGGTGACAGTGTTCATCGGTACTGTGTTTCCTTGTTTAGACCCGTGAAGAATGGCAGAACGTGTTCCTCATAGCTGCCCTGGTGCACTACAGTGGCGTGATCTTCTACGGGGTCTTTGCCTCTGGGGAGAAACAGGAGTGGGCCGACCCCGAGAACCTCTCCGAGGAGAAGTGTGGAATCATTGACCAAGATGAACTAGCTGAGGAGACGGAACTCAATCACGAGAGTTTTGCAAGTCCTAGAAAGAAGATGTCATATGGAGCCACCACCCAGAATTGTGAAATCCAGGAGAAGGGATGGAGGGGACAGAGCGGGGTGACCCTGGATGAGGAAGAGCTGTCGTATTACCAGAATGAGGAGGGAAGCTTCTCGGACACATCCTAGTGTCCGAGGGGCACTCCTGTCCTCCCCTCACTGCACAACCAGAAAGTATCTGTTCCTATCGCCTTCCCCGTAGCCCAGCTTGCCAGAGGGTTCAATGCGGGGCCGCTGGAGGTGGGGGGAGGGGGAGAGAAGCTTTCATCAGCAATAGAGAAAAGAGAAATATCTTGCAATGATACTTGTGGGGATGGAGCTTGCTTTAAGCTGACAAAATAGATATATATACATGTATATATCTCAAAACCATGTTTCATTTTGTTTTTAAAGAAAATGGGAGGAAATGGGGATGTTTGGCCTGGAGGAGAGAAAACAGTAGCTGCTGCTACATTTCTGAGAGGGGCCACGCAGAGGAGGGTGTCCTGTTCCTGGTGAAGGCTGCTGCTCGTGGAGGCCCTGAGCTGTGCCAGGTGCTTTGTCAACATTCTCCTTCAATCTTCACACCCACAACGACACACATTTCTTATCCCCACTTCACAGCCAAGGAAACGAGAGCAACATGAGACTGACGTGCCCAGAGTCGTTCTGCCAGGGCCGGTGCCGAGCCTGGTGGGGTCCCAAATGTGCAGCCATTGTGGGGAAGAAGGTTTCACCTTAGGGTAGTAAAGACATTTTTAATAATGAAAACGGAAATGCAGTGGGTCGTCTTGTGCGTGACTCCACATTTTGGCAGGTGCAGAGGATGGGAACCCTTTGGGTGGATGTGGTGGCAGAGCTTTCAATCGTTGTATGAGGGACTGGATTCAGACTCTTGGGTTCCTGTATGATCTAAAACGTCAAATGATTCTGTGAATGTGTAGTGTGTGTGTGTGTGTGTGTGTGTGTTTTAATAATAAGGGTCACAGATTATAGGAGAGATTCAAATAGGTTTTTAAAAAGAGAGAAAAACAAAGCTATACAAGAGATTATATTTCTGGCAATCTCTGGTCAGAATGGCCAAGAAGAAGTAAACAAAGGCTTGGCTACTTCATTTCAACCCTTTATAATATCAAGAATGTTGTGAAGTAATGTCCCAAATTACTCATAAGTCATTAAGACATTTAGAAAGTAAAAAATCAGCTCATGCATTTTATTAGGCACAATTCTCTGGAAGAAGTCTTCAGTTTGAACAATGTATGTCTGTAGCCATTTCTGCTGGTGATGTTAGGAAGTCTGATCGAGTTTTACAGAGTTAGGACTGGTGCGTCCTTCATGACCGTATTTGGAACGATGTTCAGGGAAACAATAACACGGCAGTCGTCAGAGAGGGGACACTAGAATGGGAACACCGGGGACAACCAGGCCTAGTGCTGAAAAATTCATCTTTGATTGCAGAAGGCAATAATGTGGATACTCTTTAAATGTATTTTAAACTTTAATGTTGGCATGTAAAGGGTCGTTTGAAAATAAAATTATTTTCCTGTCCATTGTTTTTGAAAATTTTATTTCTACTTTCAGAAGGAAAATACAGTATTGTAGAAAAGTTATACATTTACATGTAGTTTATTATTATAAAGTGTTTTTTCCCTAATTCTCCCATATATACTTTTGGTCTCCAATTGTACCATCAGAGTTATTGTAGTGTGTTTTAGAAAAAGAATAATTTTGAGTTAAAAGAGAATTGCCTTATTCTCCATTAAATAATATTCTTTATATTACTGTTATATAATTTATGTTATTATCTATCTTTAAATCTCTTTAATGAGTGAATTCATACAAGTCCCTAATGAGTGAATTCATACAAGTCCCATAGAATAGTTTCTGGCATGTAGAAAATGCTCAATAAACATTAGCCATCATCATCATTATCATCATCATCGTTATCATCATCTTTTAACCTTTTGGGAACTCTCATTTGAAAGGAGAACATGTTATGTTATTTTCATCTATGAGTCACAGAATTTATTGTGAAGGTCGTGCTGTTTTCTAAGTAAAAAAAAAATAGAAATTTATGGTAGCCAGTATTTTTTTCTTCTGTTAATAAAGTCAAAACTCTATTTAAAATAACTCATGATCATCCTTAAGGTAATACTATAGATTGTGACACTAAGTTGCATTTGCTCTATCATTTAAAGTCTGTGTCATGCAGAAATTTTACATTTGGATGAATCAAAGCACTTAGGGAACCTGTAAATTCCCCTTATATTATTAAACAAAGTGGAGCCCTGGATCATGGTGTTAAAAACTGAAAAGCACATTGTTTTGTCGTGATGGGTATTGTGAAGGCTGATTTGAACAGATAATTATAACCGAATGCCAGGCAGATGCAGTTTGCAAGTCATTGCACATTTTGCTGCAAATATCCATTTGTACAGTAGACTGACCCTTGGAGGCAAATCATGGATTCTAGCAGGAGGGAAGGAGAACTGAGTGTGCTGGGGATTCTTGAGACAAGAAGGTTTCACTGGTTCTTTTTAAAGAATAAAAGTTTTGGAGACTCCTGAAAATGACAAAAAAAAAAGACTAATTACTCAAGAAACAATGGCATATTTTTTATCCCTGCCTGGATGTTAAATTCAACAGTTAAAGCAGTGAAACCTACTATTTTGATTTCACACTGCCTCCTCCCAACCCCAACAAACTTGTTCTTCCTTTTCCGTTTTTTTCTATTTCAGGAAATTACATCACCCTTTTGCTGGAGCTAGAAACCTTGAAGTCATCTCTGACTTATTTAAAAACATAACTCTTTCTCCCTTTACTGCCAAGTCCATTTAATTCAATCTTTGGCTCAATGTTTTATATCAGCTTAGGAAATTTTTTAGCCATGATCTCTCACAATATTGCTTTTGCTCCATTCTCTGTCTATGTTCTTTCCAGGAATTCTGTTAAACAAGTGCTGGACTGTGCGTATAATGCCGACTATCTCTTTTGTATTTTTTCAGCCTTTTGCCTCTTTCTGTGTCATTCTGAATATCTTCTTCTGACTTTTTTTTTTGAGTTCTTTATTTTTCTCTTAAGTAAAACCTAATCTGGTAAAAAAAATGAATCCATGGTGTGCTTAATTTTAGTTACTGTCTTTTTAGTTTTAGAGCTTTTATTGGTTCTTTTTCAATTCTGCCATGCCTTTTTAAAAATATTTCTAGTTCTCTGTTGAAATTTTTCATCCTGCATTTTTTCCCTGAAACATAGAAACACTAATTATTTTAAGTCTGACTGGTGCCACTATCTAGAGACCATGTGATTCTGTTTCCATTTTCTCCTAAAAACCTTTGTTATGCAGGTCAATAGCCTGGAATATCCAGGTGTGATACCTCTGAACCCGTAGGAAAACAATCCGACATTTTGGAGTTGGAACAGAACGACTCGTCATCTTCCCAGGACATGATGAGAAAATTTCGGCTTACCTGTTGACTTACCCAGGTCTCCAAGCAGAGACCCAGGGGCCACCTTTGCATTTTTCTTGTCCCTTGCCTTTTCTCTGTTTCTGTTTTCTGTTGGTTTTGTCGATTCTTGTTCATATTACCTTATTTTGATCTGTGCTTGGTTTTCTTTGCATCTGAATTTGTATTTGAAAAATGGTACAGCAGAAATGAATTTAGGCTTAAAATAGTGTTGTCGTTTGTTTTCTCTCCAGAGAGAATTTTTGTTTGTTTCTTCCAGGAGCCTGAAAGCATTAGCCATCCGGGGTCTCTTTCATCCAGTGACAAGGCCAGATGAGTTGAAGCCTGGGCTATAGGCAGTTTGAAGGCTCTTTGACTCTCAGTTCACCCTTGTTCCCAGAGTTCCTCACTCCACGGTCCCAGCCCACACTACTGTGTTTCTACCAGCGTCCAACTTTTGTAGCCACACCAGGCCATCAGACAGCTCAGCTGTCAAACACTGGCGTTGTTATAATTAACACACTCCCTGGAGAAAAGTGGCCTCAAATGTCAAGCTCACTTCTTGGGATTTATATCTCCTCCCAGATGGCCAGATGGTAGCCAGGTGAATTTTCACTGCCATGCTGGCTCTCCAATGCCTTTGAGCATCATTTAAAAAGATACATATTTTCTAGTGTGAAGGCTGGTCTGAATTACCTCGTCTGCCATTAGTGGATGCTGAAGTCCCTCTAATTTTATCTTCACAAGTTCTCTCAAACTGATTTATTTCCCTAGAGATAGTGTGGTAATAAATGAAACCCCAAATCTCAGTTGCTTACTACAGCAAATGTGGACTTCTCTCTGGGGTTACTAGTTGAGTGTGGGTTGGACTGAGCAGACTCGAGGCTTGTTCCAGACTCAAAGACCCAGGATTTATTTTTTTCTCCACTTTCCATCTTGCAGTTCACCATTTGGAACATATAGCCTTTGATACCACCCTGAAAGGGGGAGGGAAGAGGAGGCTCTCTGGCTTTTCGCTGCCTCAGTTAGAAATGACACTGTCATTTCTGCATTTCTGCTCTTAGTCCATAGGCCTACACAAGCCATGTAGACCCAACCTAACTTCAGAGGCGGCTAGGGATTATCGTGGAGCATGTGATTACTGAGTCACCACTATTTTCATCTGCCACTCAGCTCTAGCCTAGGCTCAGAGTCTTAGGAAATCTCACGTGACATGTTGAAATAGCTTCCAAGTGTTAGAAGTCATGTGATTCTGCTATGTGGCATTTGGAGAGATCTGAACTAGGTTGTAGGGAGCCTGGAGCCTCCTTGGAAGAAACCACAAATATGTGAATTCATTAGCATAGAATAGCATCTGGTCTGATTCAAACGAATTAATAACCGCAAGGGCCAATTTGAAGAATGAGGAAAGCTGAAATTCTATTTAGATTTCATGCATTACCGTGTCCCAGGCCTTATGCTAAGCTCTCTCCATCTCTGAGCTCATTGAATTCTGATGGCAACACCAAGAGGAAAGGGAGGTGCCAAGGGACTGAGTTTTGCCCAGGTACCCCAGGTACGGAAATGCAGATACTGTCTAGATGCTCAGTACATGCCCTGCACAGGATGGGTGCTCAAGGAATATATTCTTCAAAATCTGACGTGGTGTTTAAGGAAGAGGGTGCTGGAGATGACATTCAGGTTGGCTGGTTAAGCATGGCAGATTAAATGTAGGTAGTTATGCCTACCTTCTAAAGTTATGATAAAGGAATATAGGAACGCATACATGTTCTAGGACAAAGAAAAAAGAGAAAATCACATTTAGGAAGCTAAATGTGGATACAGCAGTCTTAGCTGCCTTCA